TTTCAATGTAAGGCAGCAAAGTGTGAGGCAATTTTTAGGTGGAAATGTAGCTCTTTCATCAAGATGCATGAAGGTTTCTGGTAGCAATGAGTCTCAAAAGGATGTTCGCATTGGTCTTCTTGGCGCCAGTGGATACACTGGTGCGGAGGTTTGTGAAATTTCATGAATTCTTCTCTTTGAAGTTGCATCCATTTATACACACACACACACAGATATGTATCTGCACCAATCTTTTAGTGCTTAGCTTCCTTATATATGCATTGGGTTAAAACTGATTAAGAACCGGTTAACATGAAGAAGAGAAGAGCTTTATGTTCTCATACGTGCACCAAAGATCCATAATGTCCTCGGTAGAAAGAAAATAATGAAAGAAAAGTCAATATTCAGTAGTTGAATTTCATTGAAAAAGCTGAAGGTTGTGTTTTGATTAATTCCCACTCAATCACTTTATATACATAATTCCTATATTAGCCTTAATATACATAAATAGAACATAATGAACTGCTCCTAAGATACCACAGCTCCAACTTGAATTCTTTGATTGTAGAATTTCAATTTCTACTTTCAGTATAAGAGTTGTTTTCCACTACCAAAGACGTTAAGATGGTGATAAATCAATACAAACAATTATCTGCTAAGAGTTCATACTAAAACTAATATGCAAATTGATAATAGGAATATACTAGGAATCAGTGGAATTGAATCCAAAACTGGGCAACAACTCTGTATTTTAGTGAAGGCATTCATGTCTCTTTTTCAAAGGAGTTTCCCAAATAGTTAGTAAAGATCTACATCTAGGGGTATTAAACTTCTTTTTTTTTTCTTTTTTTTTTTTAATATGCTGGATGTTTCTATATATTGGATGCCACAGATCTTTTCTCGTTCTGGCAGATTGTTCGACTCCTTGCAAACCATCCGTACTTTGGCATTACTCTGATGACTGCTGATAGAAAAGCTGGCCAGTCAATGGAATCAGTGTTTCCTCATTTGATAATACAAGTATGACTTGTAGGTTCGTCATGATAACGATGGTCATGTTAGTTGACTCTAGATTTTCATTCATATGCTGATGGTGAACCGTAATCATTTTGCTCCACCACTGATGATGCTTTTGTCACTGTTTTTTCAGGATCTGCCAAAAATGATATATATTAAAGATGCTGACTTTTCTAGTGTGGATGCTGTATTTTGTTGTTTGCCTCATGGAACCACCCAGGTTCTAACAGATTTGTATTTAATTGATTTAATCTGTTCTTCAAGACATAAAACATCATTTTTAAACTTGAGAAGGCATTCCTCGGTCTCTTAATGAACTATACTTGGTTATTTTTTGCAGGACATCATCAAAGGCCTCCCCAAGGAATTAAAGATTGTTGATCTTTCGGCAGTATGTTATTTCAAAAAAAAATTTTAAAGAATTTTATTTCAAAAAAAATCTTTCGGCAGTATGTTTTGAGGAATGCTATATCTCAAGATTCTTTTATGTTTCTTACATGCTTACAATAATACTCTCAAAATTTTGATAGATGCTTATCTCAAGTCATTTTCAGGACTTTCGGTTGCGAGATATTGCAGAGTATGAAGAATGGTATGGCCAGCCACTCAGTGCACCAGATTTGCAGATTGTTTCCCTTCTACCCCCAACCTTATGTCTCTTTTTTAACCTCCAACCATTTAAGATGTTTTTTCTACTCAGCAAAAATCTGAATTAAAATCATATTTCCACTTCATATTGTAATCAAGTGCAGCTAGCTTCTTGACTAAGTGTCTAGAACCGTTCTCCAAAGATACTGCTGACTATATGCTGCTTTTGAGGACTTCTCTAGCTTATATCCAATTATGATTTTCTGAAGAGAGTGTCATTTTAAAGTCTAAAAATCAGTGAGTGAAATATGGGAAATATACATCAAGTCTCACTCTCTATGTGGTTAGAAGCCCTAGTCCCTAGCATCAAACATGGTTAGCTTCCATGTACAATTTCATTTTGCAATTGGATGCATCCAACGCTTCCATATAAAACTTTGGGACTATAATTCAGGCACTTCAAGAAAGGTAGACAGATGATAGCTTAGATTCTCAGGTACTTAGCTGAACTTCCCTGTTTTGTGTTGCTTTTGTGGTGATTGTATTGCTGCTACAAATTTTATATGCTGCTGGCATGTAGTTCCAAGAAATCTATTTAACAAAAGAACACTATCTCTTTTATGTTGAGAAACTGAGAGTTACACTTACAATGTGCTGACTACATTTACAAAGCATGGTAATTTGCATGCTGTTAGAGAGTAGAAACTCTTCTTTCTTTCTGTTTGACAAGGCCACATATCACTGTACTTGTCTTTTCTCTGTCAGGAAGTGTTATTGTTATTGTTGTTCACACATTGATTCTTTATGTTAACAAGCCTCTTTACCTGAGTTCAGAAAGACAATAACAGTTCGAATGCTTGGAGTTTCTTCCGAATAGTGGCAACTCAACGGCATTATTCGTTGTAACCCAGACATGCATGATAGCTCTACTTAGGTATGCTGTTATCTCTTTTCTTGGTTTGCTGGTAGGTTATACCGAAAATTTTAATTCTTGCAATTGACTGTGCAAGCAAGCTAGCGCGATTT